TGGGGGCGGACCGGGCCAGCCACAATCGATCAGTCGAACCAATAAAAAATATAGATCGAGTCGACTAGACTGGTGGCGATCTATCAAACAAGTCAATTGAAGTGATCGATCAGGCTTGCATGGACGGTCAATCAATGAAGAATGGTCGATCGAACTGATCAGATCGATGATGGTCGATCGGTCGAGCTGCTAAAGTGTCGTCAGTCCAATGGGGAAGTTGATCAATGGAGGATAGTTGATTTGATGTCATCAAACCAATGACAATTAATTGATCAAATCGATGGCATGAAGTGTCGATCATGTCGATTAGGCGGGCAGTCAATCAACAACACATGTAAAATAAGATATTTTGGATGCAATTTAAAATTCACACCTAACTTACAAAAGTGAATGCAAATACATGCATGAAGTAGAAAATCTAGTTCTTCTTGTTAAAGAATCTGGACTCATTCTAATGATCTTACAAGAAACCTAGATAAGCTAGCAATGGAGAGGTTTAGTAACACCTTATTGCATGAAGCAACAAGACGCCCACCTCTGTTTGCACGGTATAAGGTGAGGAATCTCTCGTGAGGAGGATTCTCTACGATCAAGAGGGTGAAGACCAAAGGAGTGTCTTTGTCTTCTCATTCTGTGGGTTTTAAATGTTCATCCGAATGAAACCATTAATACAAACTGTGGGATTAGTAAAACCTCGTCTTTCAAATTTTTGGCCAAGAAATGAAAAAGGTAGGTTTTATTCTTTGGATTCGTAGGGGAAATACAATGCTCCTAATCCTATGGAGTTTCCTCTAAGAACACAAAAGTTCTAACCTAAATTTTCTAACATCCTGACCTAGGGTTTCTAGAAAAAAATCACAAGAGCTTATAAGTTTTCTCACCACAGTAAAGATTGAGAACGTGTTTTCTAGGCTTGTCCAATCTCTGGCAAAGTTCTGACGAAGCTCCAGTAAGGTTCAATTTGCTTCTTTCCCTTTCCCTAGGAATGACGAGGCTCACCTCTAGAAGGAGAGTTCGACAAAGTTCTCACAAAGTTCTGGTGAAGTTTTGGTGAAGTTCTGATGATGTTTCGACGATCCTTCCCCAAAGTGTGAAGCTCTCCTTTGCCGTAAAAGAGTTGATGCCTTGCTTCTTTGTTAGCACAACTCCTCCTCAAGAAAATCTCCACGCGCACTTTAGGAAAGGGTGGAGGAAGAGAAAGAAGATGAAGGAAGAGAATTTCTTGTGGAAGAAGAAGGAATAGAGGAAGTAGAAGCTATTGTGATCAAGCCCTACTCGTTACCTTGCTCTAGCATTCTCCCCCTTAAGGGAAACCAACCTCCAAGCTTTTTCTAAAGAACTACAAAGGAAGAAGGAGCTCTGAGGAAGAAGGGGCTCTAAGGAAGAAGAAGCTCTCTCATAAGACCAAACCAACTAGCTGAGGAAGGAGGAGGATTTGGGGTGAAATGAATTTAGATCAAAACATAAGCCAAGCCCCTCCAAAATTTCCCCCTTTTTTGCCAAAAAGGGGGCTTCCACCTCATCTTAGAAGCTTCCAAAAAAGGTATAATCAGCCTATATCTGCCTTTTAAGAAAATCCTTACATTAGCAAATAAAATCCACTTTTTTCTGCCTACGGTAGGGCGCCGAAGTCAATATCAGGCAACTCGCGGGATGAAACCGGGGCATAAAAGGGCCTGACGCCTTGGTGTTGGGTCTGACACCATGTTGCTGGGGCACCGAGTCTCCTGAGGCTCGCTTTCCTTGGATTGGGATCAGGCACCTAGGAACTAGCACGTTGGCCCCAACTTTCCGACTCCTTAGTTTGAAAAGTGTGCATTTTGGAAAGCTCTGGGTGCCTACTTTCCAAAGGGTTGGCACCTAGGCGTTGGTCCCAACGCTTAGTCGCAAGGGGCAGACACCTACTTTCCACTGGCTTGATTTTAAGCCCTGTGGGGGCTGTTATGGGGGCCAGGCCTAAGCACCCAAGTCTAGCTCTGAAAATTTCGATTTTTACCAGAAGCTTAATGACGAGGGATTTTTTTGATCTGTAAGCTATGAGAGACTAAATTTAACTAAAATATAGTCTCATAACTCCAAGGGCCTAAGCACCCAAGTTTAGCCCTGAAAATCCCGATTTTTACCAGAAGCTTAATGACGAAAGATTTTTTCGATCTGTAAGCTATGAAAGACTAAATTTAACTAAAATATAGTCTCATAACTCCAAAAATAAACATCTTTATGAATCTTAATTGAAGGATTTCAAAGCCAGTGGGGGCCCTAATATTGTGCGGGTATGATGTTCTAAACCTTAATATTTCTAGAAACTCTCACGGGAAGGCTAAACGGATTCCTTCGACCATGGGAAACTTTGAATAGACTGAGTGGAGTCTTCAAACATTAGAACGGACATCAGAGACATCCCAAATTATAGTTGGTGCCGTCAAATGGTGGACTTTCCCGAGCAAGGTTGAGTCTTCACGAACTTTGGTTTTAATCCCTAAACATGTACGAGGAAGTCCCAAATGGGTGTCTTATGCTACGGTATGCTACGAGTGAATAATAAATCATCTTGAGCTAGTCAAGCGGACACTCTACACTCGTGACATCAAAAATTGATGCCAAAGTGACCATTATGTGTTCCTTCTTCTCTCTTCGCTCGCCGTAAGTGTAAGGATCCACACACCTTTAATTTTTTTTTTAATTTAAGTATCTCAATTTGCGTGCCCATAAATTCATTCATGAAACTCGTCAATATGGGTGTATTTCTTAGGAAAATTTGATATTTTGGAGGCCATAGTGTATTCATTTTTTCGATCCAAGGTCGTCTGGAAAAATTCATCGACGATCGAGGTGATTTGAGCCTGATTACGTGTCTTGCCGAATGAAATTTATTGGTCCGGTCGAAGACGTTCGACTGACAAATGTTGCTTTCTTAGGAAAATTTGATGTTTTGGAGGCCATAGTGTGGTCCATTTTTTCGATCCAAGGTCGTCTGAAAAAATTCATCGACGATCTAGGTAATTTGAGCCTGATTACGTGTTTTGCCGAATGAAATTTGTTGGTCCGGTCGAAGACGTTCGACTGACAAATGTTGATCGGTTGCAGCTTAGACAACAATAAGAGTCCAACAGATTAAAAACATACATCGGCCGGCTAAATCGCCAACAGAAGATCAGTTGTTCAATCAAAGAAGTCTGACAGACAAAATGCAGATCAACCTTTTGTCTAAGGGAAAGCCAAAATATAATAGAACGACCTTGGTCGTGTGCCCTTCAATACACACCAGAGGATCTCAAATGAATGTATTGAGCTCTAGAAGCTATGTATGCATGAAATATATTGCCATGTCATTCAAGCCAATATCAAAAAATGATGTCAACAGGCGTTAGTAACACGGCCTACTTGGTGATCATGTTGCAAACAAATGATTGTTAGCCTAGTCTTATTGGAGTAAACAATCTTATACCACACATTACTAATTATTGAATAGTAACTTAAAACGTATTGAAAATCTCTCTTTATTAAAAAAAAAATATCTTAAAAAAACTTAGATGGAATAAATCATTCATGTGTAGATGTGATGTGCTCATTTAAGCCATCAAAATTTGCATTTGCATCCCATGTTGGTGCAATTTTTAAGTACTGTATGTACTCATTATTACTAGTTATTAGATGTGTTATATCACTTTTAAAAAATGGATGCTCATGTATAAGTTTATGTCCTTGCAAATGTAGACAGTCTTGCTCACCCCTACTTTTATTATTAGATTCACTATCAATATCAATATCATCAACAATTGAGATACTACCAATTGTTTCATATCCTTCATCATCATGAGGGAATCATTTATCTCATTCCAAAGTTGCTTGGAATTTTTGGGTTGAGCTTATCATCTTTGAAGTACTCCTAAATAAAAAAATTTCAGTAAATAAAATATCAATTTTAATAACTCATATTTTAAAAATAATATACATGATAATACTTACAGATCCGTGATAGCATGTTCGGTAAAGATGTTCGGGAATGATTCTGATATTTTGTGATTAACGATATGATATTCTTTCTGCGTTGGAATACTCTTCACATAAATCGTAGGAACTTTTTTGAAAGCATTTGCTAAAACAACCGCAATCACCTCATCGTCATCGATAGGAGTTGCAATAAATACATCATTGCTTAGGTAATGACAGATTAGATTTAATGCACATGAATTATGTTTCATGATTTGAGATATTAATTCTTTCAACTTCATGTATGCATGCCGACATGAATAGGCTTGCTTCGACTTTCTAAATATTTGGGCACAAGTTTCTTCGATACAATTAATTTACTATCAACTAGGCAAAAATTTCACTTTTTTATTAACATATTTCCGCTAAATTTAAATAACAATATAATATGAAGCATCCAAAGTTGTTATAGGTGTCTTCGCAATAAAAAAAAAACATTGGGAGCTCAACGGAGGTGCTTTGAATAGCTCGTGAAAGGCTTCAAATAGTTTCGTCGTCGGTGCTTTGATGGAGGTCCTTCGATGCCGGTTGCTTCGATGATGCTTCGATGGAGAAATTGGAAGTGCTCGCTCATGAGGGGGAAAGACAACTTAGGGCACGAAAGGGCTTTGATGGATGAATCTTCGATCTTTTTTAATCAAATGAAATTGCCACGCCACACAACACTTTTACCCATGTGGATCCACGTAAAACCATAATCATCATGTGTCATGTGGGGTTACCATTTAATCTACTTCAAAGAATTTATTTTTAAGCCAATCCAATTAAAATAATAATAATTTTTTTTTTTAAATTCTCTTTAAAATTTTGCATAATAATAATGTCGGCTACCTTTCACAAAATCCCCATTCATCAACCTCTCCAGCCCTAATCCTGCCATGGCTCTCAGCAAACCCTACCTTAAGCCGCCCCCCGCCGCCCTCCTTCCTCTAAGAACCCTAACCCTAATGCCCCCAAGCTCCCTGAACCCGTCACTTCCCTTGCAGGCAACCGTCTCAATCTCCATAACCGCATCTTAACCCTAATCCGCGAGAACGATCTCGACGAGGCCTCCCTTCTCGTCCGTCACTCCATCTACTCCAACTGCCGCCCCACGATCTTCACCTGCAACGCCGTACTAGCTGCTCTCCTCCGTCAATGCCGCTACTCCGACCTGCTCACACTCCACCGTTTCATCACCCAGGCCAGCGTCGCCCCCACGGTCATCACCCACAACCTTCTCCTCCAGGCCTACTGCGACTGCCGCAAAACCGATACTGCACTGGAGCACTACCGACTCATTGTCAAAGAAGATTCCCCAGTGAACCCCTCGCCTACCACCTATCGGATTCTCGTCAAGGGCCTCATTGACAACAACAAGGTAGATCAGGCCGTGGATCTCAAGAATGACATGCTTGGTAAGGGCCACTGCCCGCCGGATGCCATTGTTTATAATCATCTCATGACTGGTTTTGTTAGGAACGATGAACCGGATCGCGTTATTGAATTGTACGAGGAACTGAAGGAGAAGCTTTCTGTGGCTGGTGGAGATAGTATATATGATGGCATTGTGTATGGAAATCTAATGAAGGGGTATTTCATGAAGGGGATGGTGAAAGATGCCATGGATTTGTTTGAACGAGTTCTTGGAGAAGGTTCGAAAGTCAGGTTTGGCCCCGTGAGCTATAATATGGTTATGGATGCATTGGCGAAGAACGGGCAATTGGATGCTGCCATTGGATTGTTTGAAAGGATGCTGAGAGAACATGATCCCCCAAGGAGGAAGACAGTGAATTTGGGAAGTTTTAACGTGATGATAGATGGTTTTTGCTTAGCTAGACGGTTTGAGGAGGCAATACAAGTTTTCAAAAGGAGGATGGGGGAGAAGAAGTGCAATCCAGATGTTTTGTCCTATAACAACTTGATTCATCACCTTGGGAAGAACGGTTTGGTTGCAGAGGCTGAAGAACTTTACAAGGAGATGGGTGAGAGGGGATTCAGTCCTGATGAATACACTTATGTTTTGCTGGTAGAATCCTGTTTTGGAGCTGGAAGGCCTGATGATGCAGTGGATTACTTTAACAAGATGGGGGAATCTGGTTTGAGGCCAAATGCTAATGCGTATGATAAGGTTATCGGTGGACTGGCAGACATTCAAAGGCTTGATGACGCACGAGTATTTCTGGATCTTATGTTGGAGAGGGAGATAAAGCCAAATGTGAAGAGTTATGAGATGTTGGTGCAGTCCTTTTGCAATGTGGCAAGACTTGATGATGCACTGAAGGCATTGAAGGATTTGTTGATGGATGAAGGAGTTAGTCTGAGTGAAGAAATGAAGGAGCTTGTGTTGGAGGCATTAAGGAGGGAATCAAGAGAGGAGGATTTCTCGAAGCTACTCGAAGAAGTTGAGAGGGAGAAAGCTGAGGCTGCAGCCCGGGCTGCGGAGGAGAAGGCGAAAGCTGAGGCTCTTGCGAGGGAAGAAGAGGAGAGGAAGAAGGCAGAGAAAGCTGCTAAAGAGGCTGCTGCTGCCAGAGCAAGTGCTGCAGCCATTGAAGCAGTGTTGGGAAGAAAGAAGTTGACTGATAACAAGGAAGAGGAGTCTCCTGCAACTGTTTCTGTTGCAGCTGAAGAGAAGGTTGGAGACTCTGGTTCTGCAGGCGATGGATCATTGAATGAGGTGATTCTTGAGAACAGTTCAGCAGATGTGAAAAATGAAGGTGGAGGGATTGCTTAGCAGGTAAGCTTGACATGAATCACACTTTTAAATGAACTTTATTTCACAGTAATTGTCTGTTTGTGTTGATAATTTAAGATCTTATTGCAGATGTAGGTTAGCATCCTGGTGCTGTTGAATTTTTTCGCTAAGGTTTCAGCTTCATTGTCAAAATCATTTTGTTAAACACAGCATTATAATGAGATAATTATGTGAGTGTAACGAGCGAAATTGCCTAGAATTTCCATAGATAAATATAACTGTAAAATATCATATATATTAGTGAAAATATTTCCTAACCTGCTTTAATTCGTCTTTAAAGCAACTTATTGTGTTACAAAAGGGGAGAATTTTACATGCATACTACTCAATTCCTATGTAATTACATATCTAACACCACCTGAACTTCAATTTTTACTCATATACCACCTTTACTGTGCATGAGAAGGCGAATTTCACTTTTTAAATATTAAAATAGTGATATATTTGATGTGATATAAAACATTTGGATGGTATTAGTATAAAAATCAATGTTTAGGTGTTAAATATGTAATTACACAGGAATTGGTAATCATTGGACAAAATAGCCGATTGCTGTAGTGTCTTAGGCCCTTAATCTGATCTTCACATAAAAAACCCATCATTTTAACTTGACAAATATGAAATATATATTTTTCATGCTAGGTCAGTGGCATGTATGTAAAAATTTAAGTTTAGGTGTTATATATATAAATGCATAAGAATTGATCTATATGAATGTAAAGTTTCCTTATTACTTTCATCATTGATTATACCCATGGGCATCATCTTCTTTGCTACCAATTCTTACCTTGCTTCACTGCATTGTTACATCATGCTACCTGTTCCAAGCTTTGAACCCAGTCTTCCTACACAAGATTTGAATGGAACCTAAAATTTTAGGCTCGATTTAGGATCACTTTTGTTCAAACGTTGCGAATCTCGTTGCCTACACAAATTCTTCTTCGAACGCTGCGAGTTTTGTTGCCTTCTTTGTCAAGTTCCTATTGGGGCTTCTTCATCTCTGTCATGAGCTTTTTGATTGCATTTGAATGTGGATCATAAAAACTATTTTTTGTCTGCATTCTCAAAAAGTTTTGGTGGAAAAGCTGAATTTTATAACATGATTCTAGCTAAAGTCGGTGGATGCCTGAAAGCTGCAATTTTTGAATTTTTTTTGGGTTGGTAGATGTAGCAGTGCGGTGCGATCTGGACCATACTATCGAGGCATTTGAGGAAATAACTTTTTGCCAGCTTTCTCAAGAAATTTTGGTGGAAAAGTTATCATTTTTAACCTGACATGGCTAAGTGAGATGACCGCCCCTTATTACTCGAATTGTTCCTTGTGTATACTGATGACATCATCAAGAAAGATTTGAGCTTCGATACGATTGACAAGATCGATATAAGGGTGAACCGTCTCCCGCATCACTGATGAATAGAAAGTTTCTGGACAGAGCCCTCTTAAGAAAGACTCTTCTCAATAATTTTATATCTACTCCTGGAATCCGGTGGGCTTCAATGGAGAACTTGCGGAAGTATTCTTTGAGGGATTCCCCCTCATTCTAGCAAACTCCCAATAAGTGAGATGAATATTTGACGATCTTTCTGTTTTCTATGAACTGGTTTGCTATGAACTACTCTATGAATATTATGACAAATTCATTGATGTTTTGAGGGATTTGAAAAAAAAGAAAAAACCAAGTTATCATAGTTTCTCGAACAGTGTTTCTTTTGCAGTAACTTCACAGTTTTTTCTTCGAACAACTGCATCATCCCCAAACAAATCCTAAGTTATATATATATATATATATATATAGATATATAAAAGTTAATAATGTTGATTTTATTAATTTAATTGAAAAGTTGGATATTATGTAAAGAAATATCAAAATTGTGTGTTAAATATGTATATACAAAAAATTGTGTGATGCGGATGCAAATTTCATCCATTTAGATTTATAAATTTTATTATATTAACATGATTTTTTTAATGTTATTTAGGTTAATAAAGTTCAAATAATTTTTTAAAAAATCAATCTATATTTTTAATTTTTATATATTTTAAATAATAAACATAAATTTTATATTATATTTACAATAAATAAAAATTAAAACAACGGCATACAGTATTACTAAAGAAGCAAATTGAATCACGATTGATGCAAATTGTATTAAAATGCATTTAAAAATAATAGAATTTGTTTCAAGATTAATATAAGTTTATATATATTATAATAATTCAAAGCAAATTTAATAACATTTAAATATATCTTCATATAATTTGTCTCAGAGTATTCTGATGAAATTTTTAATTAACTATTTTTCAATTAATATATTATTATATTTTAAACAAATTATTTATGATGCAATATATAAATATGTTCATAAAAATAAACAAACAAATAAATAATTACAAAACTAACACATGATATGAATTTTGATCTATGAGTGAACAATTTTAAAAAATTAAGGCGGGAGTGAGTTATAGGCTTCCAGCGTTAAAAAAAAAAAGAAATTCTGTGAATAAAAATTCAAAATATACATGCGATTGTCTCATTATTTTATAGATGTCCATTCAATCAATTATAAGTGCGGGCAGCGTTTTCAAAACGCCATCATACCATTTGATTTGCGCTTTTCGTCAGTTTATCCGAAACCACATTTGGGCTTTTACACTAAACGCAGGCCGCGGGCCGAACCCCGCAGCTCGCTCTCTGACCGCGTTTCAGGATAAGCAACTTATCCTGAAACGTACAAGCTGCCCCAAACCCACTTTAATTAGTTTTTTAGATTGGAAGATTTACATACTTACCACCCAATTCCTATGTATTTTCATATGTAATCTAAATTTCAATTTTTCCTTGCATGACACTTTACTTATGAGTATATGAAAATGTGTATTTCACTTCCTATATAATATCAAAATTGAAATTTTAAATGTAATAAAATAATTACATAGAAATTGGGTGGTATGTATGTAAATCCCCCTTTACAATTAACATTTATATAATTAGTAAATGTGCATTTCTCCCTCACTCTCTGCGCTTTCGCTCCAGGTCTTCACTCTCGCAGGCGATCGCTGCAGTGTGGCCATGGCGGCCTCCACTCTGCAATCCTTCTATTGGATTCCGATTCCCATCTCATCTCTTCTTAAAAGCCCTAAAACCAAATCACCCGCCTTCACTACCTCCTCCGATTCCCACTCCACAGCCAAATCCCAACCTCTGTCACTCCACATCGGCGCATTCCCCAAACCCTCCCCACATACTGTCCTAGATTTCCCACCCGATTTCTATCATCTATACCCCATTTCACTCCCACTTCCCTTCCTCCAATCCTTCGTCCGATCTTGCCTCCGTGGCGGCGTTTCCACCGACGATCACTACGGCGGGGACTATGCGTGCGGCGGCGGCATCAGCACGCTGCTGATGAGCACTACTCTATCCCCTTTCCTGTGCACGTTGGCTGGTAATCCGACGTTCGTCTCTGGTCTTTTGGCGTGGGTGCTTGCTCAGACCATGAAGGTGGCTTTGAATTTCTTCGTGGATAGGAGGTTGGATATGGGAATTCTTTTCAGCTGTGGAGGCATGCCCTCCTCTCATTCTGCTTTATGTATGGCGCTTACGGCTTCAGTAGCCTTTTGCCATGGGGTCGGCGATTCGCTTTTTGCTGTTTGCCTAGGGTTTAGTCTTATTGTGATGTATGATGCCATTGGTGTCCGGCGACATGCAGGGATGCAGGCTCAGGTCTGCGCTTTTCATTCTTCCTTTGTTTATGGTATACTGAAATTGCGATCACTGTTTTTTTCATTATCCTTCATGTTGGCTCAGTTAATTTACGGGCATATTACATAAGTACTGCACAATTCCTATGCATTTACACATCTAAGACCTAAAATTTACCTTTTGCATTTATGACACTCAAATCTTTTATATCATGTCAAAAACACCACAATTTTAACTTCTAAAATGTCAGAAACATAAAAAGTGGTATGTATGCAAATCTTCCTTTAAATTGATGTTGTCTTATATGATATGTATAATGCAGTTTGGATGTTAAGTTTTTATATTTTATACGAATTAGCCCCATCTAAATCAAAGTTTTGGATCCACCATTTACAGTGTCATTAATTCAAATAATGAATTGATTGTTAACTGTAGTTTGATTGCTAACCACTTAAGTTAAGATTTCATTTGTCTTATTGATATTGTTTGTTTACTTCGCTGAAGTTAGTAGCACATTTGTGTTTAATTGATAGTGACCAGACTTGTTACAATTAGGCCATGGCTGATCTTTGTCAATCCTTTAGCTTTATCTGATGCAAATTTTGATTTTATTTTTTCTTTAATGAATATAGAATTATTTTTCTTATCCTTGAACTTATGGTGACGCTTACTTGTCATTTTTTCATGCCATCAGGTTTGTAAAGCAATTCTATCTTTTTCATTCCATGAAATAGATACATTTCTTTCGATAGAAACTCGTCACTTTTTGTGCAATAAATTTTTTTTTCCTGTTTTTGCAGCGTCTTCTTCTTCTTCGTCTTTTTCCTTAGAAGTTATTTTTTTTTTGCTTGTGCTACATGAGATTTGTGGATTTGGTCAATAAAATAAGTTTTTGAAACTCTTGCTTAAAAAATGGTCGTTATCTTTGAGTTTTATTCTTTAGGAAAACAATAATAACAAGCCTTTATCCTGCTAAGTGGGGTCGGCTCTATGAATCCTTTTTCTCCATTGTGTCCTATTAAGTGTCGTAGTTTCATTTAATTCTAATAAATTATGATCATTTTTTATACGACAAACCTTTTTTTTTAGCTCTACCTCTACCTATTTTAACATAAGTCAAATCTAAAACATCGACTCTCCTATGGGTCATCAGATGGTCGACGTTTAATTTTACCAAACCATCCAAGGCTACTCTATCTAGTCTTGTCTTCTACTAGAGCTACTCCAAACATTTCATAGATATATCCGTTTCACATGAGCATTTTCATTTCAACAACACTTATTAATTTTATGCTTCTCTTTTACATACTAACATTTTGCGCCATAAAGCATTGCATTTGTTGCCACCATCTTATAAAGTTATCCTTTAAGTATTATGCACCACTTTTCTTTCACAAAATATGTCCAATGCATTTATCCACTTCAACAATCTAACTTAATTCTACTAATAACATCTCCATCTATATCACCATCATATTGAACAATAGACTTATTGAACGATAGACTCGTGATATCTAGAATGTTTACTCCTTTTAATGATTTGACCACTTATTGTTATAATTCTGCCACTAGAACTACTATTACTACTAAAATTACATTCTATATACTTTGTTTTAGACATACTCAAATGAAAGGTTTTAGACTCTAAAGTTAACCTCCATAGTTCAAGTTTTACCCGAACTATCTCTCTCTCTCTCGACTTATCTACAAGAAGAATATCATCAACAAAAAACATACAACAAGATGCGTCCACAGAACCTAGTTCAGTTTTTCTCAAATCTCAATATATATGCTCCTTATAAAGCACATGTCACCTATTGGAGATTTTATTGAAATTACTAAATATTTTAGTGATTATTGTTCTGGCCTTCCTTTTACTACCTTTTAATAAACACATTTTTTTATATGAAAATGTTAATTTGAGTTTCTTTTACCTTGTTGGCTTCTATATGTGAAAACCAATTTGTTGTATATCTCCGGAGGTGTAATCATGGGGTACGAGTGCTGCCCCTAAATTTTTTTCTAAATTCTTTAATATCTTATATTATATTAAAAATTTTGCTTCTTAAACATAAATTCTTAATAATAATTTAATATTAATTATTGATGTGTTATCAATAAATTTTTATTATCTCACATGAATCTCGAGGTATTTTTTAACAAGAAAACTTCCAGATTCAAAGTCAAGGTTATCTATTCCCCTGATTTTAGCAAGTTTTAAATCAAATTGAACGTTTCAACAGGACGAACCCGATGATACTAAAATTGTTTCGATCCAAGTCCAATCGAAACATAGATCAAGCCATTAAAACACTTTTGAACATTTTGGATCATCAATTGAATGGTCAAATGAACTCCAAATTTGACATATTTATTGTCAAATTTAGCTTCTCGATAAGAGAAATCCAACGAGCCCAAGCTCATTTTAAAAAAAATCTTCTATGATCAAAAGGAATTAATATTAGTCGTTCGATTAGGTAGTTGAGAAAGTTATTTGCCAAAATACTAAAATTCTTCTACTCTAGAGGGTATAAATAGACTCTCTTTCTTCAAATAAGGGGGGGTGGAACAAAAGAAATTTTAGAGCCTATTTTGGATTGAATGCCTAGTGATAACTATTGGCCTCCGTAGTTGTCGATCACCTCTCGTAGGCCATTATCGACCACGTTGGTCGCACCTGCACGCAGTTGTCGGTAACCTTGCTTGCTAACGTCGCATCTAAAATACGTTCATAATGTATAATGCCGTATTAAAGACCCAACGATAACTTTTGCTCTCCAGAACTACCGACCACTTCTCGTAGGCCGTTGTCCACCATTGCCAGCTGCCCTTACTAGTCATTGTCGGCAACCTTTAATTGCTAATGTTGTATCCCAAATGCGGCCGTAACATATAATGACATATTGAGACCCGACAATAATTTCCAGTCTCCATAGTTCTGACCTCTATTTACTACCATTGGTCGTCATTACCTGTTGTTGCCCAACATCGATCACCGATAACTTTTGCTTACGATTATCGCATTGAGAATATGACAATTTTGCCTAACACCTGTATCTTTCTTAACACCATTTATTGATAAATCAGTGTCTAGTATTAAAATAAATTACCATTCTGAGCGAAGAGGTCCAATCATTAATGCTATTGCAGCCTCTGATTACGACCTATATGGCCAAATACTTTTACATGTATGTTTAGGGCCGCTGTAGCTTATTAAAACGCTGCTGCGTAATAGCTATGTCAGGAAGTTGCTGTGCAGAAGCCGTTGCAGAGAAGTTGGTTATCTGTTTATTTTTTGCAATTTTGCAGTAGATGTGCTGTTGCTGTTTCTGAACAAATGATCTTTATGCCCATGTAGTATAATGTTGTTTATAACATAATCAATTATGCTAACACATTTCATACTTAAAAACAAATAGCCAGTTTAAATGTTACAAAATAAAAACAGACATCTCACATAACAGTAACACAACGAACAAAGTTTAAAAAAAATTGATTAAAATAACTATGAATAATAGTAATATTATTTTTAAAATGTAGTTGATTAATTCCATGAGATAATCCGTTCTCTAACGATGCTCTCCATGCCTAATCACTATCGGTGGTGGAATCCTCGAATCAATCTACCCACATCAATAATTCACAGTTCTCTATTCTTTTACTTAGACACTTGTAAAATTATCTTTCATAGCTATGTCGCTGTCGTTAATAGTGCTGCCAAAACGGCTCGTTGTTCGCAAACAGCTCGTGTTCGTCTCGTTAAGAAGCTTGTGTTCGACTCGTTAAAAAGCTCGTGTTCACGCTAAGTTAACTAGCCGAACATGAATAAAGATTTGTTCGTTCGTGTTCGGCTCGAAATTATCCGAACACGAATAAAGATTTGTTAGTTCGTGTTCGGCTCGAAATACTACTAATCAATTATATATATATATATATATATATATTT